ACGGAGGTACCAGGTATACCAGAGAGAGAAAATTATTTTGAGCACATAACGTTACATTTAAAAAAAAAAAAAAAAAAAAAAAAATCATCATGCTCACAGGAATATATTTGAAAAAAAAAAATTAATTTTTTAAAATTCAGAAGGACATGAACAAAGACGCTTCACCTCAGCATATTTCATGAACCGCGTGAGCATGTTTATAAGCGCAAATTTATAAATGTCATTCAACGCGATTATTTTTGAAACAAAACAGTTTGCATTATAGTTTTGACGTCAAGTGTGGCATTATGACGTCGCAATGGAGATATGTGTAGGCTTACCTAGTTCATGAGAAAATGAATTGTTTTCTAACTTGCAATGAATCTGAAGGAAAAATATTTGCAAATGTAAATACTAAATAGCAAATCACTAAAATCTGTCAAATAAGATAATAGCTAGGATTTTTATATACGGTATATATTGCAGGTACAAGTTCTCTGAAATAACCTATTCATTCAATGTGTTCAAGTGACCCCCCGACCCCTTTCCGATTCCAAGTCACAGTGCAGAGAACTCGATGAGTGTTCAGAGCATGAACAATTTGGCCCTTGGACCACTGTGCACTGGTTTAGAATGTATATATCTATATTGATATGATAACGGAATAAATATTTTGGAGATGGGAAAATTTAAAAAAAAAAAATATGCATATTGCTTTTTGTGTACTTTCTGTTCGTATCAGGTGGTACATGATACTTTTATCATTCTGCTCTACGTATAAAATGAGCAACCACCATAAGATTTTCAGAAAAAAATATTTATTAATCTATACGTATTTTCTATAGTTTTTTAAACAGATTATGCATATTAAACGTTCAGCAACAAACCATCAGATTAAAATTTATAAAATCTTTTAATATTTTAGGAGGGGGGGGGGGTATTGAAATGCATGTAGCTTAAAAAAGAATGTGATGACCCCACTTCATATTTTAACAATAAGTCACTTATAATAATTGTTACAAAATATATTAATTTTAGGAAAATTCATTGGGCAATTTTTTTTTTCAAGACGTTGAAAACTGCTCTTGGGGTGAAAATATTACTGCAAATTTACAATGACTACTCCCCAAAGCAACTGTGGCATTACTACATCTATCAATAGTTTCCGATACAATTTTTATTTTCAATGAATATAAAGCATATTATTTAATATCTGGTGAAAATTATTTAATTTGTTTCAATTTTGATACCTGTATGGCATACTTAAAATTCCACTACATAAATATCAAAATATTGAAAAATGGTGGTTACCATGGCAACCATATCTTTCTTATAACCCTGATGACCTTGGTTGACATTTTCATATTATGATACCATTAACGTAAGGCAAATTATATGCAAAAATGAGAAAAATTCATAGAGCGGATTTTTATCATTGACCCTTGCAATCTCTTCCTTAATAGAAAACGTTTGAATATCTTTAAAAGAATTAAAAATCTATATTTTTTTATCTTTTGCAATACATAATTAAGTCAATTTGATTCAAGGCATATGCGTGGTTTTCTGCGCAGTGGTACGAAATTTTGAATTAGATCCGTCTTCCTTAATAGTATTAACTGTTCCTCATTGTATTGTATAACACATGTACTATAATAAATGATTTATTTACTTGCTTACTATACACAAGGTTACACAGTGCTACCTTTCTATATAAGTTTAACACCTCACCTTCATTGCAATTAAAACGTCGAAATATGACTGAAATATTGCCGACTCGGCGTTAAACAATAATAATCAATCATCATTGCAATTAACAGAAAATCATTAGAAAATAGTTTGCCTAAAATTTATGAGCCGACAGTTAAATCTGCATGTTCAATGATCGAGTCAATGAATTAATTGATTGGTATATATATATATATATATATATATATATATATATATATATATATATATATATATATATATATATATATATATATATATATATATATATATATATATATATATATATATACATCACTAAAATTCAACATCACTGTTTATCATAAGTGTCGGATCTACTAAGTAGATACAAGGTCACGGATTAAAATTTATATAAAACATTAAAAATGACCAACGACACGAACAGTAAAAATTGTCAAATTTTCGGGACGACCCTTCCCTTCCTCAGGACAAAGAAAAAGGTTAAGAAGTCATAAAAACAAAGGAAACAGAGAAGCAAAAACAACTAGCACTACTACTAAACTACCAAACACTAATATTTACATTTTTACGTGTTTAATTTGAAGTTTATAAGCAGTTGTGAAGAAAGAAAGAAATCCAGAGCGCTCGGAATTTGAAACCAATGTTCCGAATACATGTACTGAAAGCTTCTTTGATAAAGGACATTTGGTATATTTAAAAGAATTTTTTGAATAAAGTTAAATACCCATATATATTTGTAAACTCCAAAAACGTTTGATCAACATCCTCATTATAAAACTTTTGGAAGAAACGTATCAAAGTATATGTCAGATTTAATAAGTGGAGGACATATAATATAATTAATTTAAAAAAAATCTTTATGAATGATATTAGACATTTTTGATTATATTAGTTATAAATGGGGAAAATATGACAGAATTTTATCATTATTATTATTATTTTTATGATGATGATGATGATGATGTGAAGTATTTCGGAAGGGTAAATAAAGAGAGAGATACAGAGAATATAAAGACCATTCAAAACGAAAAAAAAAAAAAATAACAGAAAAATATCTCTTTTAATCGCTCCAATCAAAATGTTAGAAATTCCTGAGAGATGATATCAAATAGTATATTTTTATTATACTGAGACACGGCGAAAATTCAATTTGTTACCGTTTAGGGCTTAAAATGAATGTCAAAATTTATTTATTGTATTAAGTAAACCCCTCCTTTTCTAGTTTTTTTTTTTTCTCACTGAAAATATGCTATCCATCCAAACAGATTTGAAGTTATCTTTCTTGTGGCTTGCGGATAAGAACTGTAATTAGCACGACCGTCTGAGGGAACGACAACTCTGCGTTGAACAAAAATAATGCCCTTTTTGCACTTTCGCAAAAATGCAAATTGGAGATAAACATTAAATGCATGTTTTCTTAAAAGTCTAAATTATGTTATATAATTTCGTATCATTTATAATACATGATAATTAATTATAAGATTTATACATTTAATATTACATGATGTCATTTATCAAGAATCTGTGCAAAAGTGTTGTAGTGTCCCAGATCTGACTTAAAACAGGGACGTATATATGGTATGTCCCTACTTTAAACCTCTAAAATGAAATGAAGGACTTAGAGTGAAAGTCTTGGAAGTAGCATCCACAACGTAGTTATGGGACACAATTTTACTTCAATCTTTAAAAATTCTCTTTAAGGAACATATTGTATTATTTTCATGTTAATGATCATCACTATATAGATTCCTTCTCAAACATAATGTAGAGACAGTGACACATACAAGTATACATAAGTGAAATAAATTCCAACAAGCGTTAATGTTAACAAAGTCATACCCGCCTTATAAATAAAGTCATCTACGTTGCTCTAACTAAATTTAGAAATCACTCCGTGGGTATTTAAATATCCTTCTCGATAGAGGGAATAATCAGGGTATGTGTAAAACACGAAACGAGAAAAAGGAATCCGATTCAGCATAAAATAACTAATGACCTTAAAATGTCAATAAATGGAACTTGTGCTTTTGATTTCATTTTGTTAGATAACAGATGCAGTGTGAAATGAAAACATCTAACTAACAGCGACCGCACAACTATATCACAGTGAAAAACTATAAAATCTTGACAGATTTAATAAATACAATACTTTTACCTAAAGGAAATGCTTAGTCAGCTTATAACAATAAAGTTGTCATCAAATGATACCTTCAAAGATAAACTAATTGAATGAGATTCCGCTGGGATACTATACAATGGTCCAAATTTCTATGTTGAAACTTAAAGTATACCTCTGTCAAAAATGAATCAACTGTTACGGTTTATTAGCTTTTTATTGCTACAATAAATGTATTGTTCTTTGTGATTTAGTAATTCTGGTTATATTATAGGTGAAATTTATTGTCAATGTTATAATACGTTACTTACTAATAAATGTTTAAATATATTATTTCATTTTTTTTTTTTTTTTTTTTTTTTTTTTTTTTTTTTTTTTTGATTATGAACAATCAGAAAATAATTTGAGGTGATCTGTCTCCTACCAGTTAATTATTACTTTTCAGCTGTTGATATCTAATTAAATCTGTAAAGACTTTATGGGATAGCAGTGCCAGATCACTGATAAATCTAACCCAAGTTAGATGTTTTAATTTCACTCGGCATCTGTTTTCTAACAAAATTACATCATGCAAAAGCTGCCTCCTTGGCTGACATTTTGAGGTCATTGTTTATTTTTTTCTGTTGTTTTTCGTTTTTCATTTCTCGTTTCTTGTTTCTCATTTCTCGGTTTACACATTTTCTGCAACACCCTCTTTAGTGGGTAGGTATGATTACTTCACAATGTGCTGAAGTATTACAAATTAATTATCAGTAACTATTTGATCACAAACATGTATAACCCCAAAACTTTTAGACTGGGCTGAAGGAGACCCATTTTCACGAGTGTTTTTTTTTTTTTTTTTTTTTTTTTTTTTTTTTTTTTTTATTTTATTTTATTTTTTTTTTTTATGAATTGTTTTTAGTTCAGTTCAAAGTTGAAAAATATTAATGCATCAAAGTGCAATTTTTTGTACATCCTGAAAAAAATGATCATTTTAGAAATAAGTATGACTTAGTAGCTAAATAAAACCACTTTCAGTTGGTAAATAAAGCTATGTAGGTAATACCCAAGCTACTTAACTAATTGTAGTGATTTTACTTGACCTGTGTTAATCATGTTATTAAATGGGTAAAAAAAATGTTGCATTTCAATTCGACATTTCTTTGATCCTGAATCCGACAGAAGGGTATATATGTATTTCCAGTAAAAATATTACCTGGTCTGTAATCTTTCAGACACGCCGTCATTATGCGGGTAACACAAAATCCCGTAAATGCCGTAAAATTACCGAAATGCAAATAAAAACACCGAAATACACTGACATGTTCCCAACTTAAATTCTGTCTGAGCGGTTCTTTTGGGGAGTGGGGGTATTTAGGGGGATTGTTTTTTTTTTTTCTTCTTTTTCTTTTTTTTTTACCTTGTAACATGTATCTTTTATTCATTAAAGCATACCTGTGAATGAAATTATTTAATTATTTTTAAGTTTCGGCTTGAAACGTGTTGTTAAAAAAAAGGCGATAACTCGTACTGCTTATTCATCAATTTCTTCTTGGGTGTCGATCGCGTCCGTCTATAGTGTACAGTGTGTTATACTAGTCGTATAAAAATTAATTGTCAAAAATAATTGTTATTTTATTTGGAAATTGATTGTGTATCATTTCAAAAAAAAAAAATCCATGAGAGAGAGAGAGAGAGAGAGAGAGAGAGAGAGAGAGATTGGGAGAGAAAAGAACTAACATCAAGCAAACATTTTTGCTTCAACCTTACTTTTCTGTCATATTTTTCAGATTCAAATTCTTTATAATCAAATGCAAAAAAAATCATTCTTTAATTTTTAATTGTTCTGTGACACGATGATAATTTTTAGAAAGGTCTTTGAATTTCAATTTGGTGGTTGACTGCTATGTTATACTAGATATAAATAAAATAATTTTTTTTTGTTAATGCCATTTAGTATTTTTGTTTCTGAACATTAAAAATAGAGATCGAAAATGATACCAAAATATTGTTGAAAAAAGTCATGCTGAAACTACATATATACCTATAATAATTGTCCTTGGAAGTTAGTTTCAACTTCGCGTTAAAAACAATACATGTATTACTAAGTCCTTTATTTTCTAAAGAGAACCGAGAAAGCATGATTTGATTTTTTTGCAGGAAAATGACTGGAATATTTGATAAAACCCAGGAGCTTCCGGGGCTTCACGACGGCCCCAAGATCCTCAATTCTATGCTGGCTACGCGCCTGATGAATGAAAATTTCGATGACTTTTTGCCGAAATTATATTCACAGATAATGTATTTATCATCAGTGCATTGCAAACACTTTTTTTTAAATTTTTTTTTTCTTTCGAGGACGTATAAGATGCAGTTTATCAGAAAGAGTTATCCTTCTTTTGTTTAAGAAGACATCATTGTGAAGTTATACCACACTTTGAAAACCTGCTCCTGTGTGCCCTTTGTCTCCTAGCTCTGGAACTTGTTCACCCTAGTTCACACTTGTAACCGTTTGCCATTCTTTTTTCCCTTATCATAAATATCATACAAAACTAATTTTTTTTCATATTTTTACCTACATGTAGATCCCCCATTTAAAAACTTAATTTGAATGCTTACTGCAAATTTTCATCTTACTGCAAACTTTCATCTTTCGCCGTAATGACATCTACAGTTATGTATCATTTATGAAAATTCATTTATTCAACCATAGATATTTGTTTCTTTTCTTTTTTATATTCATTTAGGTATCTGCATTAATGCAATAGCGAAAAAGGTGAAGCAGTGATCGGTCTCAAAAATCTACGAACAATACAACTCTGTGAACAGGGCATAAAACACAGACCCCCGGAAACTTCGAAGTTTGGATCAGTTGCCTAGGTGGAGTAAGCACCCCATGTCTACCGGTCGTATCATTTTTAAACATGTATCTTGATGCAAATACTGTTGGTCATGTGATGAAATCTAATAAAGCCCAAATACATGTATTTACATCCCAATTTTTTTCAAAATGATACCTTATTACTTATGTTTAAATTTATGACTAATTTATAACAAATATTCACCAAATATTGTTTTAAACCCATGAAATATTTTAGTTTTCAAACCTGAACGGTATACATTGAATGTGTTGAAAACGTCGACCACTTATGACGTAACTGTGAAATTGCCTGGATCGTTTGACTTACCAATGAATTTATGGTCATGTAATGAACCTGTTTATATACAGGTTTAAATACGCCTTGCTCGAAGAGTGTTATATAAAGGAAAACATTTGCAAATGTCAGATATTGTTCAAACCGGTAATACAAGAGAGAAAGAAAATTTTTACTTATCTTTTTAATCAAAAATGTTTTTAAACTACCGAGCGTTTTAAGTTAGAGAGCTTAACAAATACTTTATTGTATAAAAGAGAGAGAGTGAGAATTAAACTTTATTTACCTAACCCCTGCATTATTAGAAAATCATATAAAATTCTTTCATTGCAATTTGATGGAATCGTGAGGTGTGACTTAAAATCTTTTGATTCCCACATTGAAACAACTGAAAATCTGTCCAGATCGATGTAATTTATCTTGAACAATGCCTCTCCAACACTTGTAATATTTGTGTTACATGCAGATTGCTAAACTTAGCATGTAAACGATTAAATATCTTAAAAAGTTAAAGCATAATCTTAAGAGAGATGCTTTGATAAAAATATATAATTTTGCTTTCGTTCGTTCTGTTCTCGAATACACAGATATTGTGCTGATAGAGATTTAAAAAAATACTTGAAGAAGTTTAAGTTGCAGCTTCACGAATAATAACAGGCCTAAGGATAAATTCATCAAAATCAATACTATATGATGATCTTGGATGAGATAGACTAGATAATAGAAGAAAAATGAATAAACTTTAAAAAAAAAAAAATAGTGTATGAATTAGCTCCCCAGTATCTGCAAAACTTACTACAACAATGTTTTTACCACATAATTCTTATCCATTAAGTAATCAGGACAATCTTTATTACATATTCCATAACCGAAAACAATTTTCATATATGAAAAGTTTTTTTTTTTCCACCTACTATGAGACTATAAAATGATTTACCATTAAATATTCGAAATCTTCCAACACTTTCATCGTTCAGAACTGCCATTAAAAATAAATATTGCTTAAAACCTAAGAAATATTACAGCTATAGAAGACGTAAAATGAAAATATTGCATTGCCTATTGGGAAATACTGCTAGTAAAAGTTGATTTATTTAATCATATTTTAAAGAAAGAGCTAAGTTGTGACAGTGAGTAAGTAGTTTCGAAAGGTCCTTTCACTTTTTATGAAGAATCCGAAATATTGTGTGCAAAGACAGACACTTATGCAAAATTTTGATACTCTGCAATTACCAATGCCTTTATCTATACATTATTTTGAATGGAGACACTATTCTTAATAACAACTCAACTGTTGAAGTATATAAATTTGTACATGAATTGAATTTATCACATAAACCAAGAGATGTGTATGATATTTTTATTCTTTTTTTTTAACTGTCAAATAAATTGTCAAGATGGAGGTCAAGGCCTTGCTTGTTGAATGAGAAGGTGTGTTTCTGAACTCTCCCGTTGTGTGTGTGTGTATGTATGTGAGGGTATGTGTGTGTGGATTTAATATTCAAAGTGGTACTTATAAAGTGAAAATTGTCAGAGATGTGTTTCTAACCTGTTTTACCTAGATGTGATGAAAGTTTCTATGTAAAAATTAGTGAAGTAGGACTTTGTATAACTTTTTTTTTTCAAAAACTTGAAAGAGAAGTCCTGAGTAGTGCTTCATTAGCGTTCATCCAAGTTCATCTATCTATGTTCAACTGTATACCTGTGTAGTGTAGGGGCGTGTTACAATGCCCACAAAGGAAATAAAGGACACAATAGCTGAAAGATCAAATACCAAACAGACAATAGACAAAGGAAAACCCTCATTATCATTTCATCAGTTTCAGCTGAAAGTAAAGGCCAATCAGTATCTAGTAAGCAGAGGAGAATTTTATCTGCAAGAGAGGATAAAAATCTAGAGATTGAAAACATCAAAATTACCTTTCCTCCATATAAAAAACACTTAAGGTCAAGATCTAGTAAATGAAGAGTGTATACAGATTTCTCAAATTTGAGAAACAAATCCCTTTTATAATCTATTACAATTATAGCTAAATAAGTAAAGGTGTATCGGGACATGATTTTTGGGTAAACTCAAAGAAAAATCATATTTAAAACTGCCTTTTTCAATGAAATATGAAAAAAACGGGTATAAAATGGGAGTTTTCTCAATCTCAGACAAAGGAAATGTGTCAATATTGCCTACAGTCTCTCAGGAAACGACTTTTCATATCTTCTTTACCTCTTCTTTAAAATGATATTAAATTGAATATAGGTATCGGGGTTCCTTTTGACATGGTTTAAATTGAATTCCATGGAAATGTGTCATTTTCTACATAATTCTGTTATAGCTGTAAAGTACGGGAAAAAGTAAGTTTAAAATCAATTATGATGTCATAATTGATCTAACACCAAAAAGACACTCTAAACTCATTTACTAGATCTTGACCTTAAACAATGGTAACCAAAGACGACATAAATGATCTAGTTAAATGTGTTATTGCGAGGTAAGGGAAGAGCTAAAGAAGGAGAACAAAGAGGAGATCAAGGAAGAGATTTACAGGAACTAAAAACAGAGATGCACCAAGACTTAGATGTGAATAAGATTCAACACTGTGAAGAATTATATAAGATGAGACAGCGACTCTCAGACAAGGTGGATATTTTAATGGTGGACAATAGAGAGGTTGAGCTTTCATACGTGTACATGTACGGGTACGTCTTGTAGGGGAATTGCCTAAATTTCTTGCGTATTATGTCATCAGATTACACCTTCCTACAACTTGTAAAAAGGCATCTACACGTAAGTGTAAACTAGTAGCTTTTTCAATAAAAACTAGTCAATTTATGCATGAAACTGATTTTATTGTTAATTATTAAGGATGTTAAGTTTCATGAACACTTATTTTAACCATGTTCTGTTCACTTACTAAAGTCAAACCAATGTCACAAAACTACTAAATTTTTGAAACAGAGACACCGATTACAGTCTACACGTTCACGTTACACGTCATTAAAATCTCAACAGACAAATTACAAAAAAACGTGTAGGTGTACGTCAAAGTTTGTGCACACGTACACGTACAAGTTTAAAATCTCAACCTCTCAAATGA